GTCTTGGCTTTCTATGCCTTTTTACACCTCCCTTTCTTCATTTCTTTGTATGTATGGATCACTTGGGTTGTTACCAACATCTGGTGAAAATTTCATGTCATTAGCACCTCTAGTAATATATTTACTGAGAAAAATGGTGACGTGTTCAATACTTATTTTACCCGCTGTATAATATGAAGTTGTTACCTGGCGATGGTTAGTACGGTCATGGTTGTGATGGCCTCAGCGAAGGCGTCGGGCGCTTCTTCGTTCATGATCCAGTCGGCCATCCGGCCGGTGTAATGAGGAATGGCCATCTCACCTGCAGTCAGGAGTTCACGTTAATGTTTGAGGAGACAAACGATCACACAGGACGATCCTCGGTGACGCACCGTAAGACGAGACCACCACGAGAACCAGCACCACCATGAAGCGCCCCAGGTACGGCGCCATGTAGCCCGTCAGCCTCTTCATGGCGCCGCTGCCGTCCGCTCCGGTCGTCTCAGACGGAGCTTTCCTGGTGAAGAACTGGGAGACGTAGCGACTCCAGTAGAGCCAGGCCACCGCTGTGACGACGTAGCCCTGCAACATCTGCAAAACAGCCCACAGCTTTAACACAACCGTTGCAACGACGTCATCCTTTCTAGAAAAACGACGTCCGCTCACCCGCTCCCAGGACGACCACCCCCACAGTTCCTCCACCGTGGACCACCCCAGAGCCCACCGCAGACTGACGTACACCGGGAAGTGGAAGCAGAGGACCCCTAGGCTCTGGAGCCCCTCGAAGCTTCTCATCCACGGGACGCCTCCGGGGTAGGTGAGGACGAGGAGGGCGAGGACGGAGGTCCTGGCCAGCGTGCCCCCCCACAGGCTGACGAGCGGGCGGTGGAGGAGTGGGGGGCACAGCTGGGCCAGGCGGACGGCGTGCGTCACGCACACGTCCAGGCAGACGCAGAGCAGAGGGAAGAAGAAGCTCATTTTCTGCATATCGAGGAGATTCTGAAGAACACACGGAGAAACTGTCACCTTCTGAACCACAGAAACAGACGTGAACCGGGTCAACAATGACGACGTACAAAAAAAAAACATGAGGGAACAAAAAGCCCAACAGTGACGTGCATATTCTTCAAATTAGGGCTGCCACAAACGATTATTTTTATAATCGATTAATCACCGATTATTTTTTCGATTAGTCGACTACTCAGATCATACATTAATTGAATATAAAACATAGAGCTTATCGCGCCAGAATGCAGCTGCTATTATATAACCATGGTTAGATTTTAGCTACATGCTAACTAAAAATAATTGCTGTGGAAGGTAAGTTCTGCTCTGCAGATATTACACAGGTTTCTCTTTCATTTTCTTAAAATGATCCCACACTTTGAGCTCTGTTGTCAGGTAGCCATGATACCAGAGCCTGTCTGTATAATGTCTTGTGACGTCCACGGCCTACCCCAGTTACCACTACTGTGCATGTGTGTCAAGGACAGAAAGGCAGATGTGGCAGTGGAAGGTGTCAAAGCAGTTTGGAGAGAAAAACAAAGTAAAGAACAACAAAAAAGATTAATCGATTATTAAATTAGTCATCGATTATTTTAATAATCGATTAGTCGTTGACTAATCGACTAATTGTGGCAGCCCTACGTCAAATACAAAAATTCAAAGAAAACTTCTTTATATTTAAGAAAGCTGTAATAATACACATGATTTAACACATTTTATCCCATAACTGGCTTATTTTCTTTTGAACTTGGCTCAGCCAAAGTGAAACAGGAAGTGACATCAAAGGGAACTCTTTAAAGAAAACTCTCTGGTCTTTGTTTATTGAAACAATATTTGAACTCTGACTCTTCTTCATCTCTGACAGTGAGTTAAAATAATCTTAAGAAACATCAGATTCTTCTCTACAGTCTGGGTTATTAGCTGTTAGCAACGCTCTGTTCACATGCAGATATTCCCCTATGACATCACTTCCTGTTACTTCACAGGCAAATATCTCAACAACTGTTCATCTCAGCAACATGAAACTTCTTTTGCAATATTTTATCAATGTCCTCTTTCTAAAAATGCATTCGTATTTAATACAAAAATTTGACGTCACAAGCCCTTTAATGTTGTGTTTGTAACTCTGCTCAGGTTTGAGTAAAGTACGCAGATATAAAGATCTTGCTGCAGTGTTTTTACTTGTTTACCTGCAGCCAGACTAATGGAGGTCGATCACGTGACCCAAGCTGTGGATTTAGACCAGTGCAAAGTGTACCTTTTTAATTTGATACTTTGCAACAAGTATATTTAATTGTTCATAACCTTCTCATTAAATCCCACTTCATAAGGCTGTAAATATCCCTTTAATCCAGCTCTGATTGTGCAGCTCAAACTCACAAAGGTCAACTCTGTTTCTCCTCCATTTGTGCAGTTTGTAAAACACAATATAAAAGCTTAGCATCACAGTGCAAACATGAATCTGCTTTATTTAATAATTAAAGCTGGGTTGTATCGAGTTTACGTGCATTTAATTAAAAACTCGATCAAAAAAATAAATTTACTTTCACTTTCTGCAGCTGCTTTCATTTTCTCCTGAGCTGCTGGTTTCTGAGAAACTCTGAGTCTGAATTACAAACAGATTTAACACAGAAAGACACGAACAACAAAGACTCCCAGATGTAATGTAACTAATGCAATAAATACAGTTTATAGATCTGATCAGATTTAAGTTGGAAAAAAAAGCCCCGAAGTCAAACGTACCGTCTAAATGTCCTCTCCAAAGGTGAGTTAACTACTGATGAACGACTCAAACCTCAGAAAGACTTTATATTTTCTGTAATCTGTCAGAAACAGAGCAGTATGAGAAGCCGAGGTTCAGATCAGACTGCAGTCAGAGACTGAAGAGAAACCGAAACCAACGACTGAAGCTCGACAGACCTGTGGGAAGTCCCTGAACGTCTCACTGGTAAACAACAACAAAAATGTATTTATCCCCACTTACCCGCCTTTTTACAATGAAATCTTCAACATTTATATAAGTCCCTGTTCCATGTTATGAATGCTGCGGCGCCACGTGACACCGGGAAGTGTTTTAAACGGCTCAACAGCGACATCATGTGGTCAGAAACAAGAACTGCAATAATCTGTTGTAATCAGTGTGCATTGCCAATGCAATGCACGCTATTGTGATTCGTTTCCCATCCAAGTCATCTCCACTTTGGCATGCTTCTCCTCCTGCATACTTTTTCCTACAGCTGCCATTGTAATTTATATCTGTAAAGCTCCTGAAATGATGGCTATGCATTTTGGTGCCTGTAAAACTTATAGTTTTTGAAATATTAAAGTTTAATCAATTATAATGGCAGTCAATGGAGCCTTGTATTGGTCCAATACTGCCCCCCTGCTGCATCTACACAATATGGTACTGCACCATAGTTTCATAATATTTAAACTCAGTAGTTCATCCATCCATCCATCCATCCATTTTCTGTACACGCTTCTTCCTTTTCAGGGTCGCGTGGGTCACTGGTGCCCATATCCAGCAGTCACAGTGCGAGGGGCGGGGTACACCCTGGACAAGTCGCAAGTCCATCACAGTGATTACAATATTAATATGATTGTATTTTGATGTTTTACTGTAATACTGTCTTTATGTTGTCATATTGCTGTAATATATTGCACTTAAGTGTCAATAATTGCATTGGCAAGGTGAACTTTTTCTGTATACATACAATCCAAAACCCTGGGATTGTCTTTTGCCACATCTATAGTCTCATGATGAGCACTGTGGGCTTTCATGCAGGAGATCAGGGTTCAAATCCAGCTAATGCAACTTTAACAAAAATCTCTTCAAACTTCATATTGTCACACAATTAACCTTAATTACAAACACCTGCTTACCTGACAGGCACAAGCTGGTATAKAAAACACATTTGAACTTGGTCACATTTCATTCTGCAAGTCCAATGCTGCAGGCAAAGCCATGCTGCAATGACATGCTACATGGCAATGCACACTTGTTTTTACATCGTAAAAACCCATGTCTAGTTCACAGTTTTTGTTTATTTCACTGCAATACAGGTACTGAAGACAGAAGCTCTAACTGGGATAAATCAGACTTCAGCTCCGGGGGGGTTTTCTTTGTGTTTTTGATCGAAATACTATACTGAACTGTAACTGAGTGTATCTCAGCATTTACAAACTCTACTTAAATAATCTTGGTATCAAATTAAAGCTAACACTTGAAGCTTTTATTAGAAGTGTGAGGATTAAAACAGCTGCTGTTGTTTTACAGGTATTGAGGGTGGAACATCATTGTGTGAAGGCATTCACACACAGATCATTTTTTCTTCTGTACGTTTTTCGGCACCTTTCTTGTTCCACAACTTTTGTGCTACTTCAACCCTTCATATATAAAAACGTTCAGCTCTTTCGTGCAGTGCCTGCTATGACTTTTGGTATTTCAGCTATTTATAGCTTTTTAGCTATTTCAACTTTTTTAGCCACTTTTTTTCCCATTGACTTTGAATGGGGCTATTTTCAACAACCTTCAAATCCTTCAAATAGTTTCTAAATCTTTACAAACCCTTACACAATTCATTCTTGTTGTGCTCTTTTTTACTCCCTTGTGCAATTTTTAGCAACTTTTTTACTAACTTTAGCTGTTTTCTGTTATTTCAGCTATAGTTCTGCTTCTTCTGCTTTATTTGTGCTTTTTTTCTGCTAATTTGAACTATTTATGCTTTCTACTTTATTCGGTTAGTTTCTACAAAATGAGCTACATTTTAGCTGTTAATAGCTAAAATTAGCTTTTTAGGCTATATACACATTTTGTTTGTAGCAATTAGAACTTAATTCTGCTAAATTCAGCGAGGTTGTACTCCCTATGCATTCTTATGCTAAATAAAATATTTCCAGCTTCTGGCTTCTACTTTTAGTTAGCTTTTATGCTAATTTTAGCTGTTTCCTGCTATTTTATCTGTAGTTCTATTTTCTACTATTCCTATGCTATTTTTTTGCTTTTTGGTGTTTTTCCTGATACTTTGTGTTAAGCATGTTTCTTACAGGTGCTTTCTGCTTAATTAAGCTATTTTAGCATTTAGCTTTTTATGCTATTTCAGCTATATTTTTGCTCCTTTTCTTACTGTTTTTCCTTTTGCTTCTTTCAGCTTTTAAAGTTTGACTTCGAATAATACTTTTGCTATTAAACATTCTCAATTTCAGCAGCTTTCAGCAACAGGCATTCACACTAGCATTTTCAAACGAAATGCAATTTTTCTAGTTTTTTTTACATTTCCCCCTCCTGTCAGAATATGTTTTTCATTAAACAGAATATAACCCATTAAAAATCATAATGAAGTAAGCTAAAAACTCTTGGAAACCATAAACACACTTGTGTGCATTAAAATTAACTGGAGCAAAGTTACAGAGGTTTTAGTAAAAAAATAATAATTTTGCATTTTGTCATTCTGCACAGAATGAACCATGTAGGTACCATTAAAAATGTTAGTAAATGTTAAGTTTTTAATTGCAAAAGTTATTTATTTTTTCTTATCTGCCTTAAAACACTTGTTAGTGAATGTTTGTTCTTTAGAAAAAATATCCAAACATTTATTTGTCACCATATTATGTACAATAATGAGAAATTGTATTTGATTTCAGTTGGACCATATTCACACAAAATCAAGTGGAAAAAAAACTTTCAACACATTTTACAACATATTTAGGTGTTTGCTTTGACTTACTTTAAAAACAAATGTCAGAAATGTTTCCTTTACTGATTTGCAACAATCCCATTTTGTAGTTTGTTTTCTTTCTGATTCAATTTCCTGTCTTTTGAACAGTGTTTGGTGAATGTAAATATAGTTTCCATGGGCTTTTAACAAAGATTCTTAGCTTTCTATTGATACCAAACATGTCCAGGTTCAACTCACAGATCTTAAGTTAACACAAGTTAAAAGAAATAGAAAACAGGAAATGCTGTTTTGCATGGGGCTCCAGAGGTTAATAACATTTTTCATTTTACACCATACTGGTTTGTTGGTTGTCCAGTTTCACATCAGCTGGAAATCATGTTTTAATTGAAACAATATTTGTTTACCTACAGAGGGTCTACAACCTTTGCAACCAAAAGAGCCATTTAGGCCTTTTACCTGCTAAATGAAAATGTGTCCAGAGCCACCAGACCTCTTTTAATAAATAAAGAGAAAAACTGCAATAACACAACTCTACATTAGGTTTTATATAAAAACTATGTAATAACTATGTTACACTCAGAAGTTAAAGAAATAAATAAGACAGAATTTTCAGACAAAGAAATGGATAAATATTTTGAGTTGCCACTTTTGATAAAGTTTAACCACTGAAATTTAAAGGCCTATGATTCATTATTGTGTTTGAGAAAAAATATAAAATGACCTCATTTGTAATAATTAAGCAAATCCCAGTAAAATAAGCATCCCAGTAAATTATCAGGGAAAACATCAAATTTAGGATAGCTTTTGAATAGTAAATTGTGACTTAATGACTTATTTTCTAATAACAACTTATACTTTTTTATTTACTTTGTTTTGTGCCTTTTCCCCCCCAAATTTTCTTTGTTCTTAGATTTGAAATGTTCTAATAAACTAGTCTTCTTTTATTCCAGTATTTATAGCTTGTGTTAAATGCAGACTCTGCAAATACAAATGTAACTAGACATGGGTTTTTACGATGTAAAAACAAGTGTGCATTGCCGTGTAGCATGTCTTTGCCTGCAGCAGTGGACTTGCAGAATGAACTGTGACCAAGTTCAAATGTGTTTTCTACACCAGCTTTTGCTTGTCAAGTCAGCAGGTGTCTCTAATAAGAGTAACTGAGTGACAATATGAATTTTGTAGAGATTTATCTGTTAAAGTTGCTTTAGCTGGGTTTTGAATCCTATTCTCCCACATGAAAGCCCATGACAAAGACCATTAGACCATTGGAGCTGTGGCTGAGAGTGGTGCCAGGGGTTGGTTTGTATGTGTGCAGAAAGAGGACACATTGCCAATACAATTATTGACACTAAACTGCATAATATTACAATAGAGCAGTATTAAGACAACATTATAGTAAAACATCAAAACATAATCATATTAGTATTGTAACCACTGAACTATTGAGATCAAATAATATTAAACTATTGTTCAGTACTGAGTAGATACAGCAGGGGGCAGTATTGGACCAATGCAAGGCTCTATTGACTCCCATTACAAATTATTAAACATTAATATTTCAAAAACTATAAGTTGCACAGGCACCAAAAGGCATAGCCATCATTTAGCATGGGAGCTTTACAGATATAAATTACAATGGCAGCTCTAGGACAAAGTATGCAGGAGGAGAAGCATGGCAAAGTGGAGATGACTTAGATGGGAAACGAATCACAATAGTGTGCATTGCATTGGCAATGCACACTGATAATAAACTCTTTCAAACGGCTCTGTTTAGTAAAGTTCAGTTTTTGGGCTTGACTTGTACTTTTTGATGTGTCGAGTGAACGGTTTGAAATAAATAAGTTGTGAGCAGAATGGATTAGGGAGTGTTTGTCGCCACCTCCTCACACTCCTCGAGTTCATTTTGATTTAAACGCAGCATGAAGTCACAGCTCACCTAACAGCTCCGAGTTGTTGTACTTCAAATACACAGACACAGAAACACGCACACACACATGCACACAGAGGTTATCGCCCTTCCTATTCTTTTCCACACAGTGGCAGGAAGTTGTCCACACATCCGCAGGGCCTCTGAGCCGACAGAGGTGGGGACTGGGTGGTTGTAGTCGCTGGCAGCGATGGGATCTGGTGACTTCACGCAGAGTTCCTTCTGAGCAGCAGGTCCTTCAGCGTTTGGGGAGATCAGAAGCAGTTTGGGGTCCTGGAGGGAGAGGACCGGGTCTACAGCCGGTGACCTGAACATGTGGGCTCTCAGGACTCTGGTTCTGCTAGGACTGAGCTGCACATGTCAAGGTGAGTTTGAAACCAACTTATTTTATATCCACAGAAAAGAGTTCAGGTTTTTTTTAGAACTTTGTATTTCTAAAAACAAAAATCACTTGTGGAAAAGAAATCAAATTTGCAGTTAAGCCAAAAATCTCATTATAATCACTCATCTATTTTGTTGTTTATTCAAAGTTATCAGTGGTCAATGTTGTGTTCAAACGCTCCAAAATATTAGTTTTATTTTATATATTTTTTTCAAACGATTACGTGAAAAACTCAATTTCACAGTGGATTTAAATTCTTTAATTGTATTTTTCTGTAGCAGAGAGAATATTTTAAGCTAAAAGTAGCTAAAATGGAATTTTAAAAGCATCTAATTTTAGCTCTGCTGGTAATGCTTCTTATTTTTTTTCGACTAACACCTGCCAAGCCCATTGTCCAACTCCATCACATTCCTCAGCGCCTTGGCAGTGACCCTCGACCTTTATCGAGTTCCCGACCCGCTCCGTTTCCTTTAGCCTTTCGCTTCTTCTGGAAACTTCCTGTTTATGTCGGGCCCGTTTCCTGTCCCATTTAGCGGGGGCCGTATCGGGACCCACCTCGCGTGGCCTGACCTGCATTGTGATGAATAGCTGCTGATTGTCTGAAACAATGAGCGGGTCGAGCGGGTGGCAGAGCTGGTTCTGTGATAAAACACTTAAACACAAACTGTTTTCAGTAAATGGGTAAAAACAAACTTTAGGTTCGGGGAGTCGTTGCCTAAACTGCTTCTGTTTGTCCAGCTGCGTCTGTGGATCCGTGGGCCCAGTGCAGGGTGAAGTGTAAAGACAAGTTTGGAGACGGGTCCTGTGACAAAGACTGCATGGAGCCCGAGTGTCTTCGAGATGGTTTTGACTGCCTGAAGGACCGGGGTCACTGCAAGTAAAACCCTTATTTAAGAACAGTCCTGACTGGAAGCAAAAGCCGTTTTTTAAGTGCAAGTTTTGCTCCTTTTATTGTTTATTTTGTCTTTTTCTTCACCCCCTCATTGTGACTCCCAGTCCAGGCCACACCGAATACTGCCGGGCTTATTACGCCAGCGGCCGCTGCGACCAGGGCTGCAACAACGCCGCCTGCGGATGGGACGGCAGCGACTGCTTCAAAGACCAGACCCCCATCTGGGCCGAAGGCTCTCTTCTCCTTCACACCAAGATCCCAAAGCAAAACCTCTCCGCATCCATCAGCCCCCTGCTCTGGACACTCAGCGTCCTCCTCCAGTCCCCGCTCAAACTGAGGGGCTCCGTGGCCCTCGCTGCCAGCAGGAACCTGTTTGAATTCAGCCCTCAGGAGCTCGCTGAGCTGCTCACTCATTCTTCCCTGGCTGACTCAAATGGGTGGGTAGTGAAACCAACAGACAAGAAAACACAGATTGAATTATTGCCCTAATTTTGCCTTTCAGCGGTGGCAGTGAGTAATAATCAAAGGGTACCAAGAACAGAACCTTGTAGAACTCCATTCAAGAAAGCAAACACTTAAAGGTTTATTTTTGTCAATACAAGCATATTTAAGCTGCTGTAAACTCATAAAATCTTCATGCTAAAACTCGAGGCAGACCAGAAAAACTACTTGTTACTTCCTAACAAGTCCTTCTCTCTTTCCTAGCTCCCTCCTTTTCCTCCAAGTGGACAACAGGCCGTGCTCCCGATTACCGTCTACCTGTTTCCCTTACGCTACCGAGGCCGCCAGTTTCCTACGCGCCGTGATGTTGCTGAAGCCCTCCACATTCTCCACCTTCGCCCAGTTGAAGACTGTGATCAGTGTTAGAGGTGTCCCAGAGGAAATAGGAAGTAGGGAGGAGGAAATGGAAGTCAAAGGTAGGCGTTGCCGTTTCCTGTCTTCAACAAGTGCACATCCAGCTTTACATTTCATCCAAACAAAACAATGTAAAACAACTTTGTGTTTCCAGTGTGTAGCTCTACTGTGAGTTTTTTTAAATTTGAAACATAATTTTATTTCTAGGAACCTAAAACAATATTTTGTCAGTGTCACTAGGACTGGAAAAAGCAAAGCAAATAGTCTGAATACATTGGGACGCACCAATTGTCAGTTTTACATTTTTAAAAAGTTCATTAATAATTTGTGTCGTTTCATTAAAAGAGCCGACCCCCACGTGGATATGGGCTGTAGTCGCCATAGCAGTTGGCCTTCTGCTCGTGCTGCCCCTGCTGGTGGTCTTTGTGATGAGGAGGGTGAGGCGGCGGCGAGCAACAGAGAGCAACGAGAGCGTCAGGGTGAGGCACCGGCCCAAAGTCGGCAATGACGACGAGGACAGCAAGACCAAGGCCTGTATGCAGCACACGGCCCATCAGGAGAGGGTCAAAGCCAGCAGAGAAAAAGAGAAAATGAGCCTCAGGAAGAAGAAGAAAGCAAAGGAGGCAGAGAGGAAGAGAAGGCGGGAACCACTGGGGGAGGACGCCATCCGAATGCGGTGAGTGGTTCGGACAGGATGTTGTGTCTAAAGGAGGCATGATGTCACCGAAAAGGAAAGCTGTGGAGTTACACAAGCTTTAAAAGAGAGAGAAAACAAATCTCTAAGTTATAATTAAATTAAATTATTTGGAGGTGAATCATCTGCACTGCAGTGAGTTTATTATTTTAACAAAATAAGGAGGCTATGTACAGAGCCTTGGGGAACACCAGTAAGTCAAAGCTGAACTTAATACATGTCAGAAATGGAAGAATTTAAAGCTTTTAAAAAGAAAAAAATTGTATAGGTCTTCTGGACGGGTTCTTCTCTAATGAAACGTTTCGTCTCTCCTCCAAGAGACTTCCTCAGTCTGAGAGTTTCAGGCAAAATTCAGGCTTTTAAGCACTGAATTTGCTTTTAGAGAACAATAATGAAGTGTTGTAGTTTGTTGCAGKGTTGCAGTGCTTAAAAGCCTGAATTTTGCCTGAAACTCTCAGACTGAAGAAGTCTCTTGGAGGAGAGACGAAACGTTTCATTAGAGAAGAACCCGTCCAGAAGACCTATTCAATTTTTTTCTTTTTGATTTTTTTACCTGGATTACTGAGATGCATCAGGACATTAAAGCTTTTAAATTAAAGCTTATCTCTTATGTTGTAAAATGATATAATGTTCCATTGATCTTTTGAAGATCAGTGAGAAATTAATCAGAAATAAAACTCACAAATACCCAGCTCTCATTTTTGTTCTTCATTCCTTCCTGAAGAGTTCAGTAAAAATCTATTTTTGTGACTATTAAACCATGTTAGTTTGTCCAAGATGACTCGTAATTCATGTTTATATATCAGAAAATAAACTACAACACTTCATTATTGTTCTCTAAAGCACTTTGGTAACAAATAAAACATTTTGTAACTTTTATAGAGATCAGAGAAAATGCTGTTGTGTAAAATTTGTCTTTTTTTTTTTTCAGGCCCCTAAAACGTGACCAGGATCCAGGAAGTGACACAGACTTTACCCAGAGTTCAATGGAAGACATCACCATGAGAAGTTCCAGACGACAAGAAGACGCCTCCATCTGTGACCACAGGAGCCCGGAACAGAGACACTTTCGGGTCGGAACCTCTCAGACCCACAGGCCTGTGCAACGTAAGGAAACAAAATCGCTTCTCATTCCTAACTTTTAAACACTTATAAACATATCTAACAAAGCACTGCACTTGTGTTTATTTAAGTATAAATGAAAGTATTTGTGTTAGTGTCCCTCATTCTGAAAGGCGTTTGTTTGCCCACAGCTCCACCTAGAGGATGGGAGAGGAGCGCCATGCCTCCTCCTCTGCTCAGTCCTCCGCAGCAGGTCAGACTGTTTTCATTTATTATTCTTATTTAAACTCATCCACATCTTAAAAAGAAGCTTGTATTATTTGAAACTCTTTACTGAATGTTGAATTTGAAACTTCTTTATTATGGATGTTATTTTATTTTCACTTTGATCTTGTCATGGTGGCAGTCAGCAGAGTGGTGTGGCCCAGATGGGTCTGTGGTTCTGATCCGAGCCGTGCGCAGCGGGTTGGACAGGGTGGTCCTGGAGCTGCTGCAAGCAGGAGTTCCAGTCAACAACACAGATCACACTGGTAATACTTATTTTTCAACTACTTATATATCTCAGATCTGTAAAGGTTTTGTTTTTCAAACAGAAACACATCATTAGTTAGCTCTGAAGGCTGCTCCGTGGTTTAAAGGGCCTGTGACGTCAAATTTTTGTAATACATATGAACTCATTATGTGAAAGATGACATTGATAAAAAATTGCAAAAGAAATTGCATGTTGCTGAGATGAACAGTTGTTGAGATATTTGCCTGTGAAGTAACAGGAAGTGATGTCAAAGGGGAATGTCTGCATGTAAACAGAGCATTAATACAACAGCTAATAACTCAGACTGTAGAGAACAATCTGATGTTTCTTTAGATTATTTTGAGGCACAATCAGAGAGAGAGAGATAAGGAAAAGTCAGAGTTCAAATATTACTGTTTCAACAAACAAAGACCAGAGAGTTTTCTTTCTTAAAGAGTTCCCCTTTTATGTCACTTCCTGTTTCACTTTGGCTGAGCCAAGTTCAAAAGAAAATCTGCTCGTTATGGGACAAAATGGGTAAAATTATGTGTATTATTCCAACTTTCTTAAACGTAAAGATGTTTTCTTTCTTTTTGTATTTGAAGAATATGCATGTCACAGGAAGTTTAAATGTATTTTTATAGATAGAAACCTGATCATTGTCTGAGACGTGGCAAACACGTACCTGTCCAGGTTACAGCTGACTTTAAAAGGAATAACAACACATCTCATGATCTGTTTCTGACATCTGGAAACTGAGGGGGTGGAGAAACTTGTAACTCACCCCGCTTCTCTCACGTCCTCTTTTTGTGTCCTTTCTGTCCCTTCTCCTCCTCTAGCTCCCCTGCTCTCCTCCTCCGACTCAGAACAAAGTTAATGTCCTCGCTCGGGTCCATCAGTATCAGCTTCGGGGCTCATCCTTCCCCTCGCTTCAGCTTTCCAGTCTTTGTTTTCTCTGTCCTCCTGTCCCATCATCTCCTTCGGCCCAGGCGTCCCTCCTCTTCATCCTCCCAACTCTTCACCATCTGGGCTGGACTCTGTTGTGTAATGGTTGTTCATTGGCTGACTTACTCCCTCCTTTCCTCCCCTTTACTCACACTTTGTCTCAGGGAGGTCGGCCCTGCACTGGGCATGTTCAGTAAACCACCTCTCCCTGGCGAGGACCCTCATCCGCTACGGGGCTGCCGTGGACCTCCAAGACAACAAGGTACCTGGAGTCCACCTATTCATAAAGTCAACAGAACAGAACAGAAAGTGAACCTGTTTCCTGTTCTAGAAACCAGAAGACTGGATTTGTTCCTGACTGTATTTTTTAAATGTTTTCTCTCAGGGGGAGACGGCGCTCTTCCTATCCGCCCTCCACGGCTGCTACGACACGGCCAGGCTCCTCCTCCTTCACGGCGCCAACCTGGAGCTCCACGACCGGCGGGGTCGTCGTCCGATCGACGTGGCCCGAGAGGCCATGCACCACCAGGTCCTGGAACTCCTGCTGGCTCACCAGATCCAGAGGAGACCCGTGCCCGTCGCCCCCGTCAGCGACATGACGTGGGAGGAGCACGCTCTGATGTACTCCACGTGGGTCGGATCACAAGTCCTGCCCGGGAGGAGCGCCTCCTTTTCTGGCATCGTCGGCCATCGAGACCTGAGCCCACCGCCACAAACGTACGGTTTCTCTGATTGTTTTTGTGACTTTGTTGGGTTTGTTTGTTTAAACGATAATTCTGATTCATTATCACGATGATCTTTTCGCAGGGATTGGTCGATGGGTCGAGTTCAGTACCCCTCCCCTCAGAGCTGGCGACCGCAGCTGAACCAATCAGCGACGGCGCTCGTCCCTCCGAGAATCATGGGCCGCCCCCCTCGGCCGATCAGCACCTTACAGGAGGTGACCTCAGAAGACGAAGACCGCGACAGGAGTCAGGAAGTCCCCCGGGCCACCACGCCTCACTTCCTGTCGCCCCAGCCCGCCCCCAGGCAGCGCTCCTTTTCCTGCACCCAGCATGCATTGCAGCGGCGCTCCAGCTCCCACCAGCCCGAGCCCAATTACCTGATCGTGACGGACAGAGCGGCCGACGAGCCCATCGAGAGGGTGCTGGTCTCTCCTCCCCCGGACGCCGCCGCCCAGCCTGAACGCCAGCCCGCCGTGGCCGGAGAACAAACAACAACAACGGAGCAGAAAGCTGGAGGCGACAGGTCCAACAGCGCCGCCGACGCCACACAAACCGTCCTGTAGGGAACAGAAAGTTCAGCTGGTTTACTTCAGAAGAGACATGACGGACAGGAAGAACGGGACAATGTGGGAGGAGTTTGGACTCTGAGCAGGAAGTCACCTGACTGATGTTTTCCCTTTTCACTTTGGTCTTTTTGTTGTACATTTTTATGTAAGAATAAATCTGTTTAAATCTGTATATTTGAATTAAAACACACTTATTGTAATTTTTGCTGAATTACTTGAGGAAAACTAAATAAAAGTCTGAATAGTTTTACAGAAACATCTGAACGCTGCATAAAAAACGAATGCAGATTTTGGTGAGTGTTTTTATTTTATTATTTTTTATTATTTTATTACTTTAGTCTGATTCTGAACCAGTTTCGGCTGAACCTTTGTGACTTTCTAAATAACTCAATGTTTGAATTTAATTTTAAAAAAAGAAGAAGAAAACCGAATTTTTGAGATCTTTTAACAATAAATTTATATCTGGATTTTTCCATCAATAAAACCGTTCTCAGTGTGAGACAGGAAGTGTTT